GCTGGCGATATTATTCTGCATTGCTGTATAATGTATTGCTGAGACTTGTAGTCCTCTATAGCTGGCGATATTATTCTGCATTGCTGTATAATGTATTGCTGAGACTTGTAGTCCTCTATAGCTGGCGATATTATTCTGCATTGCTGTATAATGTATTGCTGAGACTTGTAGTCCTCTATAGCTGGCGATATTATTCTGCATTGCTGTATAATGTATCGCTGGGATTTGTAGTCCCTCCACAGCTTGGAGGGAGTAGCAGAACTACCTGGGGGCGCAGCGGATGCATCTGGGACCAGGCCCTGGCACTACACCCCTTTCGTAAAATCATGAGTCTGTATTGTTTTAGAAAAACTGTCACATGAAACGGAAAAAAAAAAGGCATCAGTAATTGGCATTGGCATTCGGTCTGGAAAACATGTTATAGCTGCATCCCTGGTTGACTCACAAGACTGGCTTACCAGAATCAGGCAGTTCAGCTACACATGCATTGTCACGGCGTATTGGACGGTCCGTTCATCTGTCACATTGAACATCACTTTCAGGAAAACTTCCAGTTCCGTCAATCTGCACAACTTTTCTTAATCAGCACAAGATCATTAGTATGCGTCAAGGGGGGGGGGCGGCAGACTCCAGGAAAGTGTAATCAATATCTCTCCCTACGAGCTTAGTACAGAGGCGGCCGAGTGATGAAAGGTTAATGGAACGATGGCGAGGACATGTCAGATACGCAGCGCCTCTCCCAGCACGCCGCCGCGCAAGTCCGCACACAGCGCTCGGCGTGACATTCACGAAGCTCAAACTGTCTGGATAATCTCATTCTCACCAGTGAGGAGGTGATAATACAAGAGGAGGCCAGCGACTACCGGGACACGGCGACCCAGATACCACACTACGGCGACCCAATGGAGGCCACTTAAATGGGATGTGGCGACGGTGGCGGATCTACGTGGGAAATGATGATAAAATGAATTACAATTTAAATACTGAAAGAGTAGACGGGGTCACGTCGGGTAAATAGACACCAAACATGTCAAGCTTTAAAATTGAGCGCACCTGCTAAAGTGCAAAAAACGACCATACTCAAAATTAACCATAGGTGACACTTTAAAAGCTTTTAGCATTCATCAGTTTAGTGTTATCAGTGATTGATGGCCCTAAAATGATTGCTCTCACTGCGACGTTCGCGGCGATATGTAACATGTGCGGCGTAATGGGCTCAATCGTAATTTTCGCACGTATGCGCACCCGACGCATGTTTGCACGCGTGTAGGTATGGGTGGGGACCTTAAAAAAAAAATTCTGCTTTTTTTATTCTTTTTCATGTGTAACTTTACAATTTTTTGGGGGGAAACTTAATTTTTTTTATTTTTTTTTTACTTAACTTTATTGCCATCACATAGGGGGCTAAGAAACTCCTCTATGTGATAGTGAAGAGGATGTGACAGGTCCTCTTTTTGGAGACATTAAGGGTCACCTAGGACCCCCCAAAGAAGCTAATGAAGCAGAGATCTGCTTCATCAGCTTCTCTCCAGGGTCTGAACCTGGAGAGTACAAGCAATCATGGACACCGGCACTCCAAAGATAGAATAACGTCTTTTTATTGACGTCCATGCAACAATACACTTATTGCAACGCTTCGGGGTCACATAGGATCCCCTTCATTGGGCAGAACACGTGAAATTGTAACTGAAGCTGGAGAGTGACACGACAATGCGGAAGTGATGTAATATACAGGTGAAACTCAAATAATTAGAATATCGTGCAAAAGTAATTGCAGTAAGTGCTGCAAAAGGGGCCCAAACCAAGTACTGAGTACATATGCATGCTTGTACTTTTCAGAGGTCCGATATTGTTCTATGTACAATCCTTGTTTTATTGATTGCATGTAATAATCTACTTTTTTGAGGTTGTGGATTTGGGGTTCTTGGGGTTTTCATGAGCTGTAAGCCATAATCATCACAATGATGACAAATCACGGCTTGAATTATCTTGCTTTGCATGTAATGAGTCTATCTCATATATTAGTTTCACCTTTTAAGTTGCATTAGTGAAATAAATGAACTTTGCACGATATTCTAATTATTCGAGTTTCACCTGTATATCACTTCCGCATTGTGACAGCGGAGAGGGGACCGGAGGGAGATCGTGTACCAACCTCCCTCTGATCCCCTGTCAGAGAGGCACTATGCTGGTCTCGGGCTCGCACCGGGCACAGTTAAGCTCAGGACCAGCGTGACAACGCGGGAGGGGGGGGTCACACGGACCGCCAGCTTATACTTATGCTTGTATGTTAACAGGTATCGCTGCCTGTTTTTAAATCTCGGGCGCGAGTGGGCAGGGCTAACAGGCCGTATATACACGGCCTGTTACATCCAGGAAGCTTCCGGCCGGCCGTTTTTTTTACAACGGCCGGCGAGGAGGCGGTTTAAAAGTAATTTGTGCCGGAGGATGTCGGCGGTCGCCCTCTGACTAAAGGTGAAATATGGTTGCGTTAAATGGAATGGTCGCGATCAGACTCCCCCTGAAAATGCCTTTATCTACGTCTCTCTCCAGAAGGATGGAGCCATCTTTGTTCAGGCATCATCCAGAGCCACCATCTACTTCCTGGGCTAAGATGCCGGCTCAGACATGACACAATCATGTAAGTCCCGGTGCAGCCTCTCACCTTGTGACAAAGTTACATTGTTGCAGACTGATCCCTGGGGGAGGGGAGACTGAGGAAAAACTTCCTCCTGCCTGCAGCAGACCGATCACTGATGACATCATCTCAGCCTAAGCAAAGTCACTGATTGGAGCTCAAGGATGGCTTTTTTTTAATGAATGATTATTATTATTATTACACAGGATTTATATAGCGCCAACAGTTTGCGCAGCGCTTTACAATATAAGGAAGACATTACAATTGCAAGACAAGATGGTGAGGAGGGCCCTGCCCCTGGTGGCTTACAATCTGAAAGAGGAGGGGGAAATGATACATGAGGAGGTAGCTGTGTGGGGAGGAATTGTCATGAGGTCCCTGCATTGGAGACTAAAGATGGGCGCGGGTGTGTTAGCAGGTCCACGTGCCGAGCCCGCCAGGAAGCTGACAGCGCCAATCACAGGTACTGAGACATGTTCCCGGTCCGCAGCTGCAGAGATCAGGAAATGTCTCAGTGGCTGTGATATGGGCGCTGCGGCGCTGTCAGCTTCCTGGCTGGCTCGGCACGTGGAGCTGCGAACAAGCCTGAGCCCATCCTTACTGGAGACATGAAGATGGAGGACGGCGACACGCGGACAGTCCAATCTGAGCGGAGCACAAACCGCGTATAGTCGTGTAACGCCATCCAGCCACACGGAAAGTCTAATTTGGGATCACTTTGGCTGCGCTCTACAATTTCACAATGATTCATTCGCGATCTGATGTCGTTCCACAAATAGCACAATGTAAATGCGGCACAATGGAAAATTACAGCTAATCAGAGGGGACAATGACATCTGCTGCGCAAAACCCACTGTTGGAGCAACGAGGGCAGAAAGTTCAGCGTTTAAAGGGGATCTGCAGCCTTAAAGGCACAGTACAGCTTTGGAAAATAATTGAATTGAATAAATGCACCAACATGGGTGCAATGCTCAGGCTCCAGCATTGTTGACCCCCAGGCTCAGGTCTGTTTGGAGGTACGGCCTGTTATGGGGCTGGAGGAAGTTGGGAATGGACTACAATTGTAGTAACATAATAGAGCGCTCTGCCGAAGTGGCAGATGGGACTTGTAGTGTTTTCATTCATAGATCCTTGTGATTGGATGACATGGCTGTGCAGGCCTAGTCACACACAGCAGTACCATACGTTAATTGCACGGAACCGGTGGGGATGGGTCCTGATAGTAAATATGTGCCACATACCTTTTGCATTTTTTCCTATGGCCGGAGTAGGGAGGTGGGGGTGCAGGAGAGAATGGGCCAGTGGTCCTAGCAACCAGTGACTGCAGAGGACCTGTGACGCCATGGGTTGCAAGGACGCCAGTGATCCTAGGAACCAAGGACCGAAGAGGAATTTGTTCTGGGCAAGGACCAATCTCCAACTTGTGCTGAGCTACGGCTTGCAGTGAATGCACTTGGAGACCAGCACGCATCTACTGCCAGCCAGCAATAAATGAGCTCAGGTCCTTAATCGTGTCGTGTGCAGACCTCGGGCCGGACTGCAACAGACCAAGGGCCGGATACGTCCCGCGGGCTGTAGAAGGCCCTGGTATGCTATAGATAAACTACAACTCGCAAGCGCCCTCAGGTGCATGCCATTGGCTGTTACCAGCTGTAGCAAATGGGAATTTGGAGTGCTCTGTTTAAAAGCAGCTTGCTTGGAACAAAAGTGGGCGGGGCCTGCATCTGATGGACATGCTGATAAAGGGTGGCTAACTCCGGTCCCCCATATGTTGTGGGACTACAAGTCCCCATGAGGCATTACATGACTGACGGTTACAGGCATGATCCCTGCGCCAGAGGAATGTTGGGATTTGTAGTTAAAGCACAGCTTGAGTTGTCCAACCCTGTCCTCATAGCTTGTCCATCGGAGGAGGCAACAGTATCGCTCATGCCTCCCCCCCTGCATCGGCATGCTGTGCTGTAGTCCTTGCCAATACAGCTGATGGAAGGGTGGCCATGCTGCCATTTCTCAAAAGGCAGCCTTGGCACCCTCTAACAGGAAAAGACATACGGCAGAGAGTTCTGGCGGGATCAACAGGTGTTTAATGGGTGGAATAACAAAATGAAAAAAACAACTTGAGGGGTAACTCTATCAATTTCCTATAGTTCTACTGTAAAGTAAACAAGTGAGCCTGTCCGATATATTCAACTACAAATCCTGCCTAGGGACAAACCTCTAAAGGTGCCTCTGATCTCCTTTGTCAGCCGTAGAACTAGATCCAGGAAGGCATAGGCATACAATACCTGCAACCTGATTGGTTGGAAATGACTCCGCCTCCATTTTCGTTCCCATAAATGATTGGCTTCCTCGGGGTACTTACAAGTGGAATTTCTCCTCCCACACGGGGTTCAGGTTGCCATAGATGGTTTTCGTCCTCTTTTTGGTTTTGCCGACTTGCACAGTGACGTAGGGGTCGCTGGAGCCGGTCTTGTCCTTGGCTTGCAGACCCTGAGCGCAGAGGACTGGAAGAGAGGAGAGGCCAATGTGAGGCAAATGCGTCCAATTGATGAACTGCTAATGTTACAACTGCTGTAGAGTTCTTTTTTTTTTTAACCTGCTCATATATTGCCTCCCTGCTCCCCATCAACGTGCTTAAAAGGAGAACTATGAGGCGAGTGCTTTTCACTCACCTCATAGTTCTAGCCGACCTGTGACAATGAGACTGTCACAGGTCGGCTCAGTAGATTGGGAGGTGAGTGAACACATACCGGCGTCCGCTCACCTCTCGATCCTGTCACAGCTCTCTGCCGTGACAGGGGAGAGGCTGGATTCCCCCCTCCCCAATCCGATCCTCCAGCGCTGACTGGCGGATCGGACGGGGGAGGGGGCGGGTACAGCTGGCTCTGGCTCTAGATAGGCAGAGCCAGCTGTCAGTCACGCAGCCTGGCGGATCCAGACATAAATGTTCTCCTTTAATGAGTATTTTTAATATGACCTTAACATTTCAATTACAGACTTTATTTTGTACCCTGTGATGTCATCATTGGATGTCTGTGCTTCTATGTGCAATGCAGGCAGATCATGGCTGGAGAGAGGGGCACGCAAGGTGCTGTACATAGCTTCATGAAAACATAACCGCACCCTATCAGGAGCCATGATGCAAGCAGTGGGTTGGATCTTGGGAGGAGTTATGCAAATACCAAAATGCCTTGATGGGTGGGTGTCAGTCTAGAGGAGTGGGTGTTCCTAGGCAAGCTGTATTTGCATGCAGACCACCCACATGTGATGTTGAGCCTCCATGATTGAAGGAACTGAAATGCAATGAATGTAAGGGGGGAGGTGGGCAGGGACAGGCAGGGGGAATAAAGGGCTAGAGGAGGGTGGACATCCTCCAGCCAGGGAATAAGGCAAGTGTGAAGTGAAGGCACCTAGAATGACGCAGATCTGTAACCTTCCAAACCTTCGACTTATGGACGAATTTTAGCTGACAATTCCCAATTTTGCCAATGCATTCTGCTAAGCTCCACCCCTGACACATTCCAATTGGCCTATTACTATTATGGACAGCCTCACTGGCCAATATGAATACAATAGGCAGAAAGGGGTGGGAAAACTTCAGCACTAAAAGGATCTGAGATTGAAGCGCCAAACCACAAGTTACTCATCCAGATACAACAATATACCAATATATGATGGGATAGAAGAGTATATAACAGAGCCAAGGCGTTTCGGGGGTCGGAAACCGCCCCCATCATTAGGG